GGGAATCGACATACTTCCCGGTGAGTAAGCCTCGGTACCCCCATTCCGTGCCTTGAGATTGCTCTGCTTGAGCGCAGTGCCATTGTAAGATCATGCAGCTTCCTCAGAGGGTTTGGTTTTCTCTTAAGAGGCAAGAGAAATAAGCAAAATGGGAAGTGACCACATTTTTTAAAATCCTAGAAAGTTCATTGAACCATTACTGCTGATGCATTATTTACTTAGCAGTAACTCAGTCCAGTAGGGCTGGCAAGTGCCTGGGATGCTTATTTTCTATCCTGACAACTGACAGGGTCAGTCTGGTCTCTCTGTCTGCCCAGCACCACCTCTCTCCCCAGATTCCCATGAGCTGCCCCCAACTTCTATGAGTGGAAGTCAGCCCCAGACATGGGTGAAGTACACACTGCATATTTTCATGAGACCATTCTGATTGACTGGAGGTAGGCCAGGCTAAGTGAACGAGAAGTCTCCATTCTGAAATCCACTAAAAAGAAACAAACTTACTCCCTTTAAGCATTTAGGAAGCTCAAGCAACTAAAAGCAAGCTTGCTGTTTATTAATTTCAACTGCTGACCCACTTGAAAAAATCATTGAGAATATGCATGGTAGGGAACTTGCACTCCTAGCAAAAGACCACAGTGAGTTTGCAGGAAACAGAGACAAAGTCCCTCAGAGAAAAAAGGACTAGTCTTAAGTGCCACTACAAGGTAAGGGCCAAACAGAAGAGAATGTGTTATTCTAAGCTCTCTATGATCTCAACTTTTAGCACCAAACTTTCTCTCTGGGATTCAGTCCATTTCTGAACATTTGCCCTGACTTTCATCAACTTTGTTCTAACCTTCATGGTTTCTTCAGTCAAGGCTTCTGAAAGGAACTTTAAATCCTCATTTGTCATTTTGGGAGGCCACGGCGGGAGGATCTCTAGAGCCCAGGAGTTCAAGACTGTGGTAAGCCATGATGGTACCACTGCACTCCAGCCTGGGTGACACAGTGAGACCCTCTCTCAAAAAAAAAAAAAAAAAAATCAGCATTTGTAACAAAACAAGGAGAAAGTATGGGTTACAGAGTTTGTGAAATAAAACTCTGCAATCTTAAAAGAATGAGCTCAAGGTAAATTTAACAGGTGAAATATTTCATTAGTCAAGCTTATGAGAACGTAATCAGAAATGGAAGGCTACGTGAAAGTGCGTGTTGCAGAGGATATACACGAAACCAAAACACACTTGTCTTCATGGTGTTTTTGCCACTTTGGATGTTGATCTTATTGCTAAATCTTAACTTCTCCAGTGGCAGCAGAAATGACACATGTGCAGTTTTCACGCTCTTCATAGACACAATATGCTAATTTCTTCTTCCTTGCAGTCAGAGTCTGATTCTCTGTCCTATAAGCAGGGATATAGAATCCCCTAGAACTATCATAAACCGACACTAGAGGTTTAGATATAGCAGAAAATGTACAGCAGCAAACTAGTTTTCTATCTGTAAATGACAGAACTTAGAATATTTCTGCAGGGTGCAAATTACCCTTTATAGGTTCTGATTTATATTTCATGACAAGGAAGGTGTCCTTAAATCAGGTAGTGGAACATTTTTGCTTTGTCAGCTAAATTTTTCCAGTTCTTACCAAAACCGGAAAGATCTGAGGTTGCTTCTAATAATGTTATACTTTTGGAAAACCAAGTAGCATTCACTAAATAAAAAATTCATTCGTTAAGGTGTATTTACCACATAGAAAAAGAAGAACTATACAATCTCATGCTAAGAAAAGCAAGCATTTTCCATCCCTCTGTTTAAAAAAGAGTGCCAAAAATGTCACAGAGGTGACTCCTGCATAGGGGAAGGGAGGATTAGATGAGGGACTGACAAACTATAGCCTGCCAGGGAAATCCTGCTCACTGCCTGCTTTTGTACAGCACTGGAGCTTACAATTACGTTTTGAAACGTTTTGGGGAAAAAATTGAAGACTATTTTGTGACATGTCAAAATGATGTTAAATTTGAATTTCAGTGCATATAAAGAAGGTTTTGGCCAGGCACAGTGGCCCACGCCTGTAATCCCAACACTTTGGGAGGCCGAGGCAGGCAGATCACGAGGTCAAGAGATCGAGACCATCTTGGCTAACACGGTTAAACCTTGTCTCTACTAAAAACACAAAAAATTAGCCGGGCGTGGTGGCGGGTGCCTGTGGTCCCAGTTACTTGGGAGGCTGAGGCAGGAGAATGGTGTGAACCCAGCAGGCGGAGCTTGCAGAGAGCCGAGATTGCGCCACTGCACTCCAGCCAGGGCGACAGAGTGAGACTCTGTCTCAAAAAAAAAAAAAAGAAGGTTTTATGAGCATATAGATTCGCTCATTTGTTTATGTATATCTATGGCTGCTTTTGTGTGCTACTGCAGAGCTGAATAGCTGCTAGATCCCATATGGCTGGCAAAACCTAAAGTATTTACTCTCAGGATCTTTTTTTCTTATTTTTTTGAGACAGGTTTTCACTGTCACCCAGGCTGGAATGTAGTAGTGAAATCACAGCTCACTGCAGCCTCAAACTCCTGAGCTTGCAAGTGATCCTCCTGCCTCAACCTCCCAAATCACTGATACTACCAAGTACGCCACCACTCCCAGCTAATTTTTATTTATTTTTTCTTTTTTTGTAGAGATGGGGTCTCGCTATGTTGCCCAGGCTTGTCTGGAACTCCCGGTCTCCAGCGATCCTCCCGCCTTGGCCTCCCAAAGTGCTGGAATTACAGGGGTGAGCCATGAGCTCAGCCAGTCTCTGATTTTTACTGAAAAAAAAAAAAAGCTTGCCAATCTTTAGGCTGGGTGATATCTGAGGTCCCTTTCAGTTCCAAAGTTCTAAGAATTTCACTTCCAGAGATAAGCAGGAATCTGCCATCAAACACAATGCAGGGAACACCCATTAGCCTCATAATATAATGATTCCAAAAGAACTGTTTCTTTTGTGTTGTCAACATTTCCCATGAAACCTGTAAAATAATACTCGCTGACTCACAGAACATTCACGTAAGCTTCCCAGATATTGATTACTTTGAAAAGCAGGCTCTTGGTTCTAGAAAGCAATATTCATAATTTTTGGAAATTTTGTTCTATTAACAGGTTGACTAGACCATCCGAAAACTTACCAAGTACAATGAAAATGAAAAAAGAATCCCAACTCCCCTAGGAATTCACATCATAAAATATTTATTAATAAGTAAAATGATTTCCCCTGCCTTTGGTTATTAAAAAATGAGTATCTTTGATGATACCAGTTGCCAACAATGGTTTTACATTATTCAGTCGTGAAACAGACAGAATAGAAAGACGATCGATAGATATCTATAGATATAAATGTGTAGAAGACCATACCATAAAACAATTTGTTTAATTACAAAATCTTGCACATCCTTAAAGTTATCTTTTTTTAATAAGTAAACAACACACAAATAAATTCACTTGAATTTGATAATTTGGAACCTTGGCAATGAATACAGTGCCTGTTGAGGCCTGAAAGAGAGATGAAATCAAGAACTGTGTGGGAGAAGAAAGGCAATACTTCTTTGAAAAGCTTTTCTCTTGACTTAATAGTCCCTATTGCCCGAAAAATAAGCCATTTTGATAACAAGAGTATAAAAAGCCTTATGATCCGCAAAGTAAACCATCTCTGTGGTTTAAATTTCATCCCAAGTCTCAGGTTATGACTAAGGAGCTATACTAAGTATCTTTGTAACACTTTTGTTTGAATTTTTATAACTAAAACAAGAAAATGTTTTATCAGATCTAGGCAGAAATACTGATCCTCATGTATAAGTATAGTAATTACTTGCACTCAGGACTATATAGACACGGGGATCTGAAAACCAAACAGAAGGAAATCCCAAACCGTAACCACAAGGCAAAATTAAAAGTAACTCAGAGAAGCAGCGGGTGATAGCTTATGATTTCAATATAAAAAAGAATGCATTACCTCTCAGATGTCACCTTAAAGCCAGAAAATTAAGATACAATCAAGAAGGGGGTGAATGGTTTTAATACTACACCACCTACTACTTCAAGATTAAAATCATCCCAGAGTTCTGAAATGTCTTCATTAGTTAAGTAACTATACAATTTATTTCAGTCTCTTTTTAATGTAGAAAATCACTTTGTAATAAGATCTCTACACAAGGTAAAAAAGCACAAAATAGGCCCCAAAAGCACAAAAATAGACAAAATGTGTATCTTTTTACGATGAAATGAAGGTGTGCCTGTGGAATACTGAGGCTGATGACTGATCTCACAGAGTTCAAACAGGTTTCCTTTTAGAATAGTCCTGTTATTTGTGTCTTCCCCTTAACCTTGGATGCATTAAAAACATAAAAATAAAAACATTAAATAATGGCTCAGGCTGGGGGCAGTGGCTCACGCCTGTAATCCCAGCACTTTGGGAGGCTGAGACAGGCAGATCGCTTGAGGTCAGGAGTGTGAGACCAGCCTAGCCAACATGGTGAAACCCCGTCTCTACAAAAAATACAAAAACTTAGCCGTGGGGGCAGGCACCTGTAATCCCAGCCACTTGGGAGGCTGAGGCAGGAGAATTGCTTGAATCCAGGAGGCTGAAGTTGCAGTGAGCCGAGATAGCACCACTGCACTCCAGTCTGGGCAACACAGCAAGACCCTGTCTCATTTAAAAAAAAAAAAAAAAAAAGGCCCAGGTAAAAGGGAGATACCAGGCATTTTGATCTTGTGCACTCAACAACAAAAAAATAATAACAACAACATAATAAAACCCCTTAATTTATCAGTTTATAAAATTCTTTCACCAACCATATCTCAAGGGCACTTGGGACTCAAGCATTTGTTACACGCCCATCAGCAACATCATAGCCATCTCCAGCTGAGGCCAGTTTCCCATCATAAATCAATGATACCCTGGGTGACACATATCCAGAAATGCTCATTTGGAGATGTTTTCATACAGTCTGGGGGCAAATGAAGCCATCCAAAGGAACCGTGCCACAAATACCACCGGCACGTGCGGACGCCCACCTGACAACCCACCCCTGCCTTCCTCTCCCTTCAGTAAAGGAACCCACCAGTGACTGCGTTATACAGTCACCGCTGGGTACATCTTCTGTTCACTGTTGGTGTGAGGGAAGGGGGACTGAATCTGCCTGTAGCCAGGCTGCAGGCCGTCCATGAAAGGTGGCACAGCAGTCATGGGCACAGAGTCATGCTGCACCGTGTACCCCACATATGGGGGATGCAGATACTGCCCTTGATGTGGCACAATCTGGGTGGCCTGCTGACAGTTCAGCACCGAGAAATTCGTGGGCATGTTGACATACACATTGTTCATGGTCCCTTCCGGCAAGCAACAGTTGGTCTGTGACCTTGTTGGCGGCGCCCGGGCCCCCGAGTTAGCGCTGGAGCTGGAACTGGCAGCTGTGCTGGACTGGCGTGAGGACGACCCCCGGGAGGTGCTGGCACTGGGGATCATGGGGATGGTCTCCATCAAGCGGTTACCCCCTGGGGCTCGGCTCTGTTGGGGATCCTGCTTAGGCCGGAGACATCTGCAGCAACAGGCTGCCACCAGGGACCCCAAGATGATAAAGGCGACAAACACAGAGCCAACGATGAGGAACGGCACGTAGATGGGCACTGAAGCAAAGGACAGAAACACAACATTATTATTTACTCTGGGAATGCAGTCCAATCACCGACTGGCAATGGCAATGAATGAATGAGCAGCACCGACACCCACAGCTGAAGGGCCGACACTGGGCTAATTTGTTCACATATTAGGAGTCCATAAGATGCACCATTCTTTATCAAGTGTTTAGAAAGATCCTGAGACCCTACAGGCATGGCAGTTCAGCCCCTAGAAGCAAACTGTTAAATAGTTCAACGCATCAACTGCAAGACTGATTGAGCCAGATATCCAATTTAGCAAAAATATGGGTTTAATAGGTTAAGACAGTTATGGTTCTAAACTTCCTACCATAATCGAACTGTCCAAACAAGTCTGCCCTACCATATTGTTGTAGGATCTTCATAGTAATAATGACTTTAAACTTATTTAAAAGTCTTTTTTCCCCCAGAAAGTTAAGTTCCTTGCAAATTTCTCTTTACCATTCTTTAGCAAGTTCTTTTTTCATCAGCAGTTAAGTCAAAAATTTAGGCCAGACTCTAAGTCACTACTATTTCCAAAAGGCATCTGTACGGCACAAGAGGGTCAAGGAGGGGCTGAAAAAAGACCCTCCTCACTCTTCCCTAGCAAAAGCCAGGGTCCTTCGGTAGCACTGGGTCCAGGTGACGGGGTCTGTGTGGAGGTGGCGGGAAGTTATTCCAGGCATTGGGCCATCCTGAAACAGTGTCCCAAGAGCAAACATCAGGAGCAACAAGACACGTGTTGCAGGAAGAAGAGTCACCCACAGCGAGCCAAGAAGGCAAGGGTGCACAGGGAAAGCCCTCAGGGCATAAAGTAACAGCCATGATACTTCACCAGGGAAGCTGCTTTTAAAATAGAAAACAATAAAAAGTAAAAATAACCTTTTGATAAAACCACTAGCAAACTCCATTTTAAAATTAGTTTCTGGCAGGGCACGGTGGCTCACGCCTGTAATCCTAGCACTTGGGGAGGCCAAGGTGGGTGGATCACCTAAGATCAGGAGTTCCAAGACCAGCCTGGCCAACGTGGTGAAACCCCGTCTCTACTAAAACCACAAAAATTAGCTGGGTGTGGTGACGCGCACCTGTAATCCCAGCTACTCTGGAGGCTGAGGCAGAACAATCGCTTGGACCCAGGAGGCAGAGGTTGCAGTAAGCCGAGACTGTGCCACTGTACTCCAGCCTGGGTGACAGAGTGAGATTCCAACTCAAATAAATAAATAAATAAAATTAGTTTCTTAAAACAATCTTTTAGGAGCCATAGGGATGGCACTACAAGGCTTTAGAAACTAGATGCAGGTTGATGGGGTAGAATCAGACGGGAGGTGCCTGCAGAATGCCTCTGAGCCACTTTGGTAGAATCCTACCCTATGTTACCGACAGCCTGCATTTTCTGATGTGCTCTTGCCCCATCCCCCTGACTATATTTTTGGGAAATACATGAGGACAGGGACGGATTGGGTCTCACTGGTCTTGGCAAAGCATAATGCCAGCCCACAGTCAGATGGGGCAGCACTTTCGGAAGGAGCCCGTGCCTTTGAGGTCAGCTCTATGAATACCCTTTGATCATCCATTAGAGCAGCCAGGCTTTCTAATTACGCTCCTTTTGACTGTTCTGGTATTCCTGCAGTCAGTGTTTTTAAAGTATAACACCAGGTGGAATTATGGAGAAATAATGCTTTGTAAGTAAAACAATACTTTATAGGTATTTAACCAAAGGCTGACTGTGGAAGATTTCCTGGAGTTTCAATGCTAAACAGAGCAGTTTCTATATATAGCGCCCGTTTAGCAGGTAGAAACACTTGCCACAGTGTCTGCAGCACAGCTGGTGCCTGGCAGTAGACCTGTTCTAATTACACTATCACTTCAGGCTAACTATGGATCACTGGAGAAGTGGATGCAGGGCTTTTTCCTTGGCGTGTTATAAATATTTCATTTTCTAAATTGAGACACAAGCCCTAAATATGTTATCAAAAAATAATGAGAAAAACAGGAAAAAAAATGTACCCCAGTCATAGCAGAAACTGGCTGAAACCAGCCTCAGTCCACATAATGAGTTTTGGGGAGAAATAACTGTTCTCTTTCCAGGATTTTTAATTGGAAATGTAAATAACTACACAGGGGTAAGGAATGCAGCGCTACCATAAGCCCCCCCGGCAGGCTTAATTAGGTGTGTTGTCCTTCACTGCAGAAGAGAAGTGGAAGAAATACAATTTTCAGGAAAAAAACGTTTAAAAGTAGCGTGAAGAAGGCACCCACACACAACACAGGGCGTCATAAGTCTCGTCATGAGAAGTCCCCACTAGTCCAAAGCCATCCCAACTTTTTGGAAACCATTAATGAGCCCAATTCAGCAGACATCTGACTGTAGCTGTTTGGGGTCTGGCTCGCTTCTCCGGGCTGTCTTCCATGGCCACACAGTCTGCGAGGCTGAGCCTGCGTTTTAAGACTGCGCTGGTTCTGGAATTACACGCTCTTCAGATTCAAGACAGAACAATGGGAGTAGCATGCTAATAAAATGCTTGACTGCAAAAGGGAACGGCACTGAAAAGAGCTGTCTCTCACCGGGTCCTGGGAGGCAGCTCTATAAACACAAACCACGCTGTGCCAAAGCTCAGGCAGCCCGAACCCAGGCTCCGGGTGCTACCAGGCTCCGGGTGCTAGCGAGGTCTCCCAGGTACACCCAACGGGCCCACAAAAAGGAGGAGCCGCCCCCTCGGGGATACGTTTGCCATTTTACCTCCCCTCCCCCGAACGAGAGAGAGAGAGAGAGAGAGAGAGAAAGAAAGAAAGGAGAGAAGAGAGAGAGACTGGTGTAGACACCACCCCAGGGAGGCATTCCGGAAGGTTTCTCAAGAATGAAGTGCAACCTACCAAATTCTTTAACGGGTTTACTTTCCAAGTCTGGCTTTGGCAATTTGAAAAAGAAAAAAAAAAAAATCAAAGCCACAAAGAGCAAGGCTGGGCACTGCTCCGATGTTACACCTACTAAGTCTGACGTGGTAAGGAATTAACAGTCCAGAAACCCCAGAGACGGGCCGCTGCAGGGGAGAGGGGCCGCCGCGTGGAGCAGATGGGAATCCGCGGGGTCTGGCACAGGGCAGCAGCCCCCGGGAAAGCTCTGAGGAGCTGCCTTCTTTTCGGGGAGCCTTCAGGGAAGGACGTCTGCCAGGCCCTCACGGGCGGGGGCGCACCCTCACCGTCTTCTCGGGTACCCCTAAGACACGGAGCCCTATGGAGACAGCAGACGCCAGAGGGGCCCGGAGTACCCTGGTCGGAAGGAATATGGGGGCTATCTGTGGCCCACACTGCCTTAGGAGTGTGATTTTCTTCGGAAAATTCACTCTAAGCCACCCTTTGGCTGACAGATGGAGAAACTGAGGCCCGTAGGGGTGAATTAGTGACCCACATCGACCAAGTAATAAGCCAGACTGCAGACTCCGCCTCCTGGTCCCAGGTCCTTCCCTGAATCTCCCCCTCCAAGCTCCCAGGTCCCTGACGTCCAGGCAACGCCAACCGTCCTCCCTTTCGCGCTGGGCGCAGGCCGCCCTACCTGCCGAGCCGTCGGGGCCGTCTTTGTCCGCCCTGCCAGGCTCGCCGGCGCCCTGCTGGCGGTCGTTGTCGCAGCCGCCCTGGTCCAGGCGCGCCTCGGCGCTGGAGCAGCAGTAGCGCAACGCGCAGCTGCCGCAGCAGATGGTGGCGTCGCCGCCGTCGAAGCGCTCGGGACACTGGAAGCCGATGCGCCAGACGCCCTGCGCGTCCAGCCAGCCGTGGCAGTACTCGCCGCTGGCCCTCGCCCCCGCCGCCAACAGCGCGGCCAGCAGCAGCTGCAGGAGCGAAGCGGCGTTCCGGGAGGAGGCGACGGATGAGCGGCGACCGCCCCACATGGCACCACCCTGGCGCGGGCGGCGCGTCTCCAGAGAGCGCAGGGCGGTCTCCGAGAAGTCGTGGCCCCGGCGACCCCCGGGCCTCGTCGCTGACTGTCCCGCGGCGCTTTCGGCGCGGGCCACTCCCCTCTGCCGCGACGCCCAGGAGGCGACGACGCCGGGCCCTAGGTCCAGGAGCTCCTAAGCCATCCCCCTCCTCAGCCGGTGGCCCGGTCCCCTTAGGGGCTGCCTTATGAGTTGCACTCGCTGATGGAAATCTCAGGATGCAGTAAGAAGGCCCCCGGGACTGTCGTCCCGAAGCCTCTGGAGGCTTCACCGGCAACCGGACCCTCCCTGAGCATCCCCGAAGGGACGCTCACTCTAGCCGGATGACCGCTGGGCGCGCCGCCACGGACCTGGAGCCAGGGCTCCGCCGCAGGGTTTAAGCCTCAGGGTCCCGCGCGCGAATCGGGGCCCGTCTCCCCTCCTTTATCCCCTCCTCGGGCGGGTAGAAGGAGCGAAGGCGGGCAGTGCGCGCAAGACTCTGGGCAGCAAGTGAGGCAGCCGGCCGCGCTCAGCCTCCTCTGCCCCGAACTTGGTCCGCATGGCTCCGACCGGGCCGCCCGGGCAGCCCTCAGGGGTGCAGCCCCGACGCTCCACTCGGGGGGGCGGACGGCCAATCCTCCCAGCACGTCGCCGAGGGAGCGCTCCAGATCCCGGGAACGTCCCGGACGAGGCGAGGGTCCGGCGCGCCCCAAGCCGCAGTCCTCGGAGCCTGCCCGGCTGGCGGCGGCCGCGGCTGCTGCTGGGCGCGGATCCAGCCGGGCGGCTCGCCCGGGTTCCCCTTCTCCGCCTCCCCGGCTGCAGCGCGGTCCCACAGGAGCCCGGCAGCCTCCGGCCGGCGCTCCCTCTCCCGGTCGCTGCTTCGCCCTCGGGAGGTGCGCACCGATGGAAGCCTCCCACGGAAGTTTCGTTCCTCCGGGCTACGGGAGAAGCCGAGCGCTGCAGCGGCCCGCAACCTCGCTTCGCCCGGCGCCAGGCCAGCTCCGACTCCGCTAGCTGCGCTCTGAGCTGCGCTTTTATAGAAGCCGGCAGCTCCCCGCTCCCCGGCGCGCATGCGCGATGCGCGGCTCCCCGCCGCCCAGGAACCCCCGCCGGCGCCGGGCGGCCACTCACTTTCCCACCCGCGCGAGGAGAAAGGTGTGGCCGTGGGCGGGGTCTGCCTGCTGGAATAGGCGCGGGAGGAAACACAACCTAAGCAATCCAGGCCTCGCTAACACAAATAACAATAATAATGGAAGAAACTCAATTTGCTTTGTGAAGATCTTTGGCATTCAACATTCGGTTCGTTTCTGCAAACTTCTCAAGGGATTACGATCACTGTCCACCCTACAGATCATGAAATCGCCGCTCAGATGAACTCTCTCAGCTTCCAGCAGCTGATGTCCCGGCCCCGGTTGGTCCCACGCCCTATGTAGGAAGAGCTCCGATGTTGGTGGCTCACTCACACGCCTGGGGCTGTGTCTGGGGGGCTGGAGGCCTCCGCCACAAGGTGGAACGGAGACAGTTCCGCAAAGATGTCACACATTCGGCCACGGTCTGGATGATCTGTGTCCCTTTTTCTTTCTATATTTGGGTGTGGTGATTTATCGGAGTCCAGCAGGAAAGTGCCTCCGTCCAACATGTGGCCTTAGTGGTTTAGACAGCTGCAGTCAGGAAGAAAACAAGGTTCAGACAGACCAGAAATTCAGCTTTGATGAAGGAGAAATTAATAGCTTCTCTCTTCCAGAAGCTGGAACAACAGGTGCTGATGTTATTAAAGCAGCAGTGATTATTTTTAAAGGAACGAATGCCCCTTCCCACACCGTCTGGGAGTCAGCAGACCTGACTTCTACGCCCAGCTCTACTAGTAGAGAATCACTGCGTTTTTCTGGCCTCAGTTTCTTCATCTATAAAGTGGAGCATAGGAGGTGATGATCACTAAGGTCCCTTCCAAGTTCATGACTACAGAACACAGGCAATTTTACTTACAGCAAAGACACTCAGATTCAAGCAGCCGTTGGATGCTTGTGTGTTCTGGTTAATGTGAAGTTCAGACATTGTTGATTATTCTTCCACTTGTCCCAACAATGTCAAATCCAAGAAAAAACCCTACCCTATGTCCCTGCTCCCCAACACACACCTTATTCTTTTCACTAAACCTCTCTCCAAGCATTGCACTTTGTTTTCTTGCAGTTTTTTGGTTGTGTATCATTTTTAGCTACACAGGATTATGTATTTTAAATGCACTATTCACCAAATTTCTTGAGCTAGTAAGCTAAAAAAATTTCAATATCAAGAAATTATTCATTCAAGAAATACATGCCATGCACTTACAGTGTACTGTGCTCTGTGCTGGCTACTGGGACTCATCAAGAAGCCAGACAGCATGGCCATTTCCTTCAAATGGGGCCTAAAGTCTCCTGGGTAAAACACAGAAATCAGACAAAAAGACAAAGAACTGAATAAGCAAAGAGAATGCAAGTATGATCAAAGCTCTCACCCACAATGAACAGCATCAATTTAAGCACATAATCTAGGTTAGGGTGGGGAAGGAGGTCAGAAAAATCATCAAAGGAATAACACTTAAAATGAGACCAGAAGAAGTCAAAGGAAGACTGAGTTTTTCAGAATGAGTCGTTTTCTTAGAAGATACCATTAGCCACCATTTATTGAGAGCTTACTATGAGCCAGGCACCATGCTAAGAATTTCACATGCGTGATTTTATTTAATCCTCACAGCAGCCCTATGAATAAGACAGTAATACCATCCTCATTTTACTGGTGAGGATACTTGCTCAATCCCTAAAGATAGAGAGTGTTAGTTTGCCTGGACTGTACCCAATTTCTCCTGACTCCTAAGCCCACCCACCACACTGCTGGTCACCACAGCCTCCATTACGGAGAGCCCAGGATTGATTAACTGGGAGTTCTGTACAGACCATGAGATGGTTAGGTATCATCTTCCTATGGCAGCACGAGTTGATTTGGGTGGTGTTCAGAGGGTGAATACTTTCAGTTTTTGCCATTTGGAAAAACAATTAATGCAAGAGAATTGTACTTATTGTACTATTTAGAATTGTATAATTTCAGGCAGTACCTATGCCATAACCTCCTTCCACGATCCACTGATCCTATTCACCAAAACATCCACAATTTGTTAGAATTTATTTATGAAGAAAAAAATTGTTTAACATTTCATATTGGAATTGATTTGGTGACTGGATAGTGCCACCTTTAAAACACAAAGTTTTTCCCAAATAGTCTACAATTTAATCTATAATTGGTGAACTTAGAAGTATGGTGCTCTAAGCAAATTCGTCTTCTTTTTTTTTTTTATTACTGTGTTTCCTTTCTTCCTTAACAGTTAAGGGGAGGCCCTTTCACGGTTACTTTCCGTAGTGGTTGACTATCTTCAATGCTGAAAGGTCGTTTATGTCACTTTATGTCACTCTCTTGTTTTATCGTTTCTTTGTGTATCTGGAATGCTGTACTGAAATTTTATAAAATAACTTGCCAAGGATTTAGTGAGGTTCTGCATGGGAGGTGCTACTGGGAGATGTTAAAATAGTTTGTTCCTTCCGTAGGAAATAAAAAAATCCCTTATTGGTCTTAAAAGACAACCAAAACTATTTTACTCATTTCTTCTGAGAAACTATAACTAGTAATTACAACATAAAGGTAGTAGTAATCATAATTTATGATAATCAAAATGAAATGTCAGGCAGTCTGCCAAAATATATTTTAAAACATATGAAAGAGTGCCGCCCCCTTTTTTAAAAAGTTGAATTCTATAGACACTAACTGAAAAAGTGTATTTTCAAGTTATTTTACCTTTCAGTATGTGCCTGTGTGTGTATATATATACATATATATATAAATAAAATCCAATTGATATAAAAGCAAACTTCTGACACATCTTCACTAGTACAAATAGCAAGTCATGTAACTAAAGAAATGATTACTGATGACTCTACTAACTAGAGTTGATACAAATCAGATGGAGGTAATCATATTTCATTTGGCTGGCAGTTCTAAAAGCTGCAAGATCTACAGTGTTTTTCTGCAAGTTTCAGCAAGAGCAGAAGGTTCTTACCATCTGCACACCCATCAGCAGTCTGTTTAGGGAGAATGGCTTTCACTAGGTTCATTCATCTTTTTCTCCTCTTCTCTCATAAATAGAAATAGTATTGAAAATTTGGCATTTGGCTTACCAAAATTTCTTTTAAATTAAAGTGTTTTTGTTAAAACCTGAACAAATATGTTAATTTACATTTATTTTAATTTTGTTTTCTGATTACCTAACCTCATCTAAAAATAAAAATGTTCATAAATTTGTGAAAAAATTGTTCTTGCTTTAAAATTTTTAATTTTTCACCCTCCTTATTTTTCTTGTAATTGACATACTGACTTCCAGAAAAGTAATTTCCATATTTTCAATTATATTTCTTCTCATTTGTCATTATAAACTATTGACATAGTTCTCTCTCATCCCACCTCCTTACTCCATTGTTTTACTGAACCCCCTTTAATTTTTGATTTTGAGGTTTACTATGGATACATTTTCATTTTGGAGATATGGAGTTTCATGGAGGGCTTATTTCACTAATGCCTTCATAGCTAAAAGAATGGCATAAGGGAAAGCAAAATGTGCGAAGATTTGCAAATCATATATATGAAAAGAATCTAGTATCCAGAATATAAGAGAACTCTTACAACCCAGAACAAAAAGGCAACCCAACCAAAAAAACTGGCTTGAATAAACATTTCTCCAAATAACATCTACAAAAGGCCAATAAGCACATGAAAACACCTCCAACATCATTAATCATTAGAGAAATGCAAATCAAAACCACAAGATACCACTTTACTTTCACTAGGATGGCAATAATAGTAATGATGATGATAATGGGAAATAATGTTGGTAAGGTTGTAGGGAAATCAGATCCCTTGAACGCTGTTGTTGATGGGAATGTGAAATGGTTCAGCCACTGTGCAAAACAGCTTGACAGTTCCTCAAAAAGTCAGACA